GGGTGAAGGCCTTTCATATTTTATTTCTAAGTCTAGGGTAATACCAGTAATACTGGATATAATAATTTTGATATTTCAAGGGGGCTGAAACCTTTAAGATCCTCCCTAGKTACGGTATTGCCAGAGAGTAAAACAAGATAAATACTTGATGTAAGTGATTATATTTCATATCTAGCTTTTTTTAATTTTTACCMAATTATAAACCTATACATAGTTTCACTCTAAATTGTTTTAGTAAACTGTAAATTTATACTATAGTGAATTAMGATGATTAATTGTCAATTTAAAAATGTCTGAAAATATAAACTCACTAAAAAATCAATTAAACTATGCATGGTAATACAATTTAAAATACTGTTTAATTTGAATATTTTTCAAGAGATTAGAGAGGTTGAATGAGTAGTGAATACTAAATAGTTTAAACATACAATTATCACTAAAAAACTGTTGACATTTGAAAGTATTTACTATTTATATAGATAATACTTTCTATTAGGTAATAATTAATAGAGTTATTTAATGTACAATGAAAACTTGGTGATATTTTATGTTTAAAACAAGTTGGTAAATTGATAATATTTAATATTATCATATGTATATTCATACATTTAGTAGATAATTTACTAACTATATTTTAATCTAATTTAAACTGTTCTATATTAAACGTGACTAATAGTTGGTAATTATATTAAAACATGAGTGTAAGATGTATAAAAATAAAATTAAAGAAAAAAATATTCATGATTCATCTTTAATTCTACATTTTACGTATTTAATACATTTATTAAACGATAAATTGTCTACTAGAAGAAATTAATTTTACACAAATTAACTTTTTATTTTTTGTTATTAATATTGAGTTACTTTATAAGAACTTCAGAATTGGCATAGCTTTACTTGTAAGCAGAGCACTAAAGAGGACTTATAGCACTTACAATTATTAAAATAAGCGCTTAAAAATATCATAACAACCACTCAAATAAGTATTTTAAAAACTAAAATAAAAGCAAAAATATTTAATAAAAAAAAAAAAGCGTACTCTGCTATACAGTTACAAGTGGGTTAATGTAATGGATGGAATTAAATTTGAATCCAATGATATTATATCATTATTCATTATATAGAAAAAACAATTCTGAGCGGAGACGGTTTATCTGTCTAGGATATATTATAGATTATTAAAAAATTTTAAATCTTAGATTTAAAAAGATAATTTTTTATGAATTTCTGGCTTAAAATAATAAGCGAATTTTTGTGATTTTTACGTATGTTGTCAAAATTCAAACTTTGAATGAATGGGAAAAAAATTGTGACTATATTGTATATTTTTTTTTCAACTGTTATTGTAAAAATATGTTAGGAGCTTTGTATTAAATTTTCAAGCTTTTCTACCCGGCAAATAAATTTTTATCGATATTAATTTAAAAAAAACTATTAATGATCGAAAATTGCATATGCCTATAAATAGTTCAACTTAAGTCGAAATTTTTTGAAAATTGCATGGTGGATAGAATATACTTATATAAACATTTGGTGAATCTATGGTCATTTGTTTTAAAGTTACATCAATAACCAAAATCGATTTTGTCGATCATAGTCCATCGATCATGCGATGGAATATTTTTGTAAACTCAACAGAGATGCCACAGCCCGCGGTTGACAACAGACTATGCAACAAAGTTATAAGATAACTAAGACAAACTAATACAAGTCGGTAAGATAACAAAGACAAACTAATACAAGTCTGTAAGATAAYACRATTTTTTAATTTTAATTCTACCAAACACAAATTTTCAACTTCATAACTTGCATCATTTTAATAAAATATAATGATTAAAGCAGTGGCGTGTTTAGGGGGTGGGCCCGGTGAGCATAGCATGTGCCCACCCACATTYTTATGTAAGTACTAGACTTATATGGAATAAAAATACTAAAACTTATAAATAGATCAAATTTTAGTATGAGGAGAGGGTAAAACCATTCTGAACTTAGTTTTTGTGGCCCATCCACAAAAAAAGTTCTGGACACGCTACTGGTTTAAAGACTTTAAACCAGCTGGTTCTCAACATAATTTGACACTTTTATGWATGAAAATGTTTAACTAAATTTTATGACCAAAATATACTATAATTTTAATGCAATAAATTTTAAATCTTAAAAACAGATTTTATAACATAAACATGAACAACTTTTATTTTATTAAAAATAACAAACAAGCATTTTATTAAGTTGTAGGTTAGATTAAGAGGAAGCTTAACCTGATGTTGTAGTCTTTGACTTATAAATGTACATCAAAACAAATCTGAAAACTTTGAGAAACAATTTTGTATTTTTAGCTTAAAATTTTAAAATTTGAGTCAATTAACCTATAGTATCATCAAATTTAAAGATAAAAATATTAGCTAGATTCTTGAGCATCASACAAGCTTTTATTGGTATTTAAATTTTATAGCAAGTTAAGATCATATTAAAATTTTAATATATTACATAGTTACAGGTGTGGAGTTCTCTTAAATAATAATGGAATTTTTACAAATGAAAAAAAAACAAGCATATTTAGTATTAATTACGGAATACTAAAAAATAATTTAAAATGCTGATAAAGCTAAAAGCTTAATATGTTCTATCTATCACATTTATTTAAAAGTTGATTAAATCTATGTCCATCTAACCTACTATTAAAAAATGAAAGACAGTTTTAACAGTCTTTGTCAATAACCAAGAATATTTATAGTGAAGRGTGGTGGTAGGGGATCATTCATAATTCGTTGGTTAGGCAGTGGTAGAATTTACACAGTAGTCGAGACATTAATCAGATTTCATTAAAAACAATTTTACTTATTTATTTTTCCCCAGGATTTTACATCATCTATTCACTAGGTCCGTATCACCTCATGGTGAACTAGTTGAGAACCAGTGGTTTATATTTAAACAAGTCTTTATAACAGCTATTTACTTGACTGTCAAGATCACTTTTACACTATCAACAAACCTCTGTTCAATTCAACATTACTAAAAGTCACCAATATGATAATCTTTGATACTTTAACTCATGAATTATTAGTACRATAACCCTATTTAGTATTTACAACCAGCAGTTTACATATTATAGTACTATATTTATTTWAAAAAAAACTAGTTATACAATAATATGTAACAAAAAACAAGAGTTTTAATCGTTATTTTAGTTGGAAATATTTTATGAATAATGTATAAATAATTAACTGGCCTGATATCTATAAAGGCTGAATTATATTTTATATGTGACTAAACATTCCAGCATTATAATATTATAATAAATAAATAATTATGTTTACCTCGATCAAACTGTTTGCCATTTGGATCTATGTCTTTTACATTGAATATATCTTCAAAAACCATTCCTTGAGCCATTTTTCCAGTAGATGAGTTTTGAACTTAATAAGAGGTACTATACGTATTTAAACTATAATATTATTATATATACTTAATGCTTATTACTTGGTATTAACTATTAAGAAATAAGAATTGACAATTGACTGAATTGAGCGTTTGAGCGTGATTGCAATTTGTATTTCGTAACCGCAAGAGAACACTGACAACCGCTACCGCTTAAATTACAAGACATTGTTATCAGGAACGTCTACATAAATGATAAGCAAAAGTGTAAATAAATAGTTAACGAATAACCTCAAACTCGAAAAATGTATATATTATTTTATTTACTTCTCTGGTGTTATCCATGTATGATTGAATAGAGTGTGGTGTTATCGTACTAGTTTTYGTGGCTGTCGGAGTCCCGGTACTGAATACTGATGGTCGGCGGACGGCGGACGGCGGACGGCGGTGGTATAATAGCATAGAAGAAAATATGTTTAATAAATTATTCTGCGTTAATAGTAAATAGAATGTTTTCTATATCGATTGACGATTATGGTGTGTCCGTGTGTTAGACGTTAGTGCGGTACTCAAACTCGACACTCGTCACTCATACTCTCTACTTGGTGGTCGGTAACGATTATTTCAGTAATAATTGTATGTTTGTCAATGTTTAAAAATAAACCAATTCCATTTAGTTGAACTTACAACGATACGATCCCCTACACTGCATCTCTAGCTAAATTATAATGGCTATGCTTCCGCCTAGGAAAACGAAGACCGTGTCAACTGAAAAGAATTGTAAACATTCAATGACACCCCTTCAAACCCTTTTACAAATGGGATTCCCCCTAAATCGAACGTAAGGTGAACTGTTTGATAAATTAAACATCAAAATCATACCTATGTTGTATTTTGTATTGATAGAGAAAAAGCTTTGGCAGCTACCGGAAATCGAGGAGTTCAATTAGCTGCYGATTGGCTCTTGGCTCATGTAAATGATACTTCATTAGATTCCAGCACTAGTAGAGAGTATATCATCTATGCCTGTCCAACTGGGTCATTAATGTATGAGTTAAGAGAATTTTGGAATAAATCAGCTAATAAATGTGGACGCAATGGAGCTCATAATTTTTTGCCTCATATTACTCTAGTATCATTTTTTCAGGTACTTATGAATTATTTTGTATACCCACTCATAACTATGAAACATTTATTTAAGTATAAATTATGTTTAATTTTATAAATATTTATTACAGGTACCTGATGAATATGCTAATGCACTGGTATCTATACTAAAAAATGTTTTAGATGAGGTCATTAAAGAAATGATAGTCAATGACTTTCATTTAGAAACTTACACTTCATCAAATTTTATGGGTTTTTTTTTATCTGATCAAGGATCAAGCTTTTTAAAAAGAATTGCAGTACTATATGCAGAAAAAATCACAGATCTTGGTAAATTTAAGCCAATATTTATATTTGATACTAATATATATTATTTATAATATTTATAATGGATACAAAAAAAGTTACTAAACAGCACTATTGATTTATTTATTATAGATAAAGTGGTATGTCTATATATGTTCAGGGGAAAATTAATGTGGGGGCCCTTCGACCATCATAATACCTATGGTATGATAAACAAAATACTCATTGAAATTAACTAAAGTCTTGCAAATTACTTTTTCCAAACCAACAAAGCTCATTTAAACTCATGTACTGCATTACGTTTTCAATAATTACTTTGCAATGTATTATCAAATATATTATTAAAAAATATAATTTATCCATAGTTAATTATAAATGTTGATAGTTTTAGTCTGTCACCTGCTGTARAAAATTGAGCCTCATTATCACAATCTAATCCCTATATAATATAGATTTTAAGAGTATTACATTACGTCGCTTATGCAATGGATATGAGTTTTGTTCTATATAGTTGAGATTGAATCAGGATATTTTAATTTTTTGTCAGGAAATAGCTTAATAACGCTGATAGTCTGTTATTATTAGTTATTATACGTCAAGACTTTAAGTGGGCCTCCTAAAAATATTCCAAAAATTAGGTCTGGAACAAAATGGTTTCTTTGTCCCCTTTCTATGGTAGCTAATTATTATATTTGATGGGGCCGAGTGGAGTAAGGTGACAGTGTTATCAAGTACTGTAACCATTCTGAAACCTTCTAGCTGATCTATAATTTAGTAATTTACTATTAACAACAAACAATTATTTTTAAAAAAAAACTGTTATGATAAAAATAATTTTAAATGTCTAAATATATCATATCACCTCATTTTATAATTATATATTACATTTAAAATCTAAATAGCTCATGGTTTGACTTTTTAATCACTTGTTCCAGTTGGAGTTCAAGTAGATCCCCATTTGAAATCTTTACATTTAACTTTGGCATATCAATTTGATGTAAGCCAAAAAGAAACTTTGAAATCATTAATCAAATCCACCATAAATCCATCAACTCCATGTTTATGGGAACTAAAGTTATATTCTAGGGAACCATTAGCTGCTTATAAACAGGTTAGTGTTAACTTTTCTATTGTTTCAAAATATTGTATGATAATTATTCGTTAGCTTTATATAGCATTTTATGTATAACATCAAATATTTTAGGTATATAAGGTTGTATATGCACACGTCCCACAAGCTACTGATGAATTAGAACTAAGAATAGGTGATTATATATATGTATCTAAAGAAAGCATAGATAATTCTGTTGATGGCTGGGCTGAAGGAATGTCTTGGTTAACTGGTAATAAATAAACTTGTAATTTTAAGTTCTAACTAAATTCTGAATTTCTGAAAATATTTACAGGATGTAATGGTTACTTTCCTCTATGCTACACTGAACGTACTGCTGAATCTGATACTTGGACTCTACATTGGTAAAATGTATTATTACATTAAAATTAGTAACCACTAATTTTTAAATGTATTTCTTTTACAGTTCATTGCCTTTAGATGGTAGTTATCATGAATCTTTAGAAGTTAATGATTCAAATATGACTGAAGAAAAGCTAGTTGAAAAATATGGCACTAGTTTCGTTCCAGTTGATTACACACCACATTCAGAATCTCCAAAAGGTCCCAAATCTCAAAAAATATACATTTGTCGACATGGGGAAAGAGTAGATTTCACTTTTGGGACATGGGTGCCTTATAGTTTTGATTCTGATGGAAAATATGTGAGAAAAGATTTAAACATGCCCCCAAATATTCCTCAACGGCGAGATTTTCCAAACTCTTACCAAACTGATACTCCACTCACTTGTGTTGGTGAATATCAAGCTAAATTAACTGGATGGGGTATGAAAGCTGCTCAGTCTACCAAATTAATTCAACATGTTTTTTGCTCACCATCATTACGCTGTGTTCAAACTTGCCATAATATCTTAGTTGGTTAGTAGTGTTTTTATCAATTATTATTAATATTATAACTATACATATATTAATTGAAACGTTGAACTATTCATGCAGGCCTTGATATTGATAAACAAGTTTCGATTTGTATTGAACCTGGTATATTTGAATGGCTTGGTTGGTATAATCAGTCTGGGCTACCTGATTGGATGAGTAATGAAGAGTTAATAGCTGCTGGTTTTAATGTTAATTCCAAATATGAAGCTTTAGTATCATTACCATTTTTAACTGAAAATATGTCAGAAACAGTTGAACAGTATTATTTAAGATGTGACGAAGTAATACAGAATGTAATCAAATCAACTGAACCCAAAGGTAACAAAAACCTCATTCTAGCTGTTATATAGTTTGTTTTGATGTACCTTGTCATTGATTAGGTTACTGTAATGGATAGATATGCTAAATTTGAATTCAATGATAAATCATTGCATACAAATAGTGGTTCTGACTAATGATGTAGTGCCGGGCTTTATTTCTAAAGATATTTTATTATTTATTTATTTGTTCATTAATAAAACATTATATTGAACTATTTTTTGCCAACAAACTACATATTATTTTATATCATAAAAATAATTTATTAATTTTTGAGTCAATACTCATATATCATATTATAACAGTATGACTAGATTTATAGACATATTTATACATGGTATACCATGTATAAATATGTATAATTAGTCTAAATATTTTTCAAATTTTCTGTTTGGATATTTTTAAGGTTATAGAAAAAAGTTTCAATTCTTTACAATTTCTATTTTTTTTTTTCTAAATTACAATCAAATCACTAAAATTGACAATTGTTAAAGCTAAATTCCTTATTTTATTTTTTTTTTTTTACATTGAAGTGTACAATTTTGTTGTACATATTATGTATTTTTAATATTTCTCAATTGTTGTAAGAATATATGGGGAACTTTGTATTGCTATTTCAATGTTTTTGGCTGAGAACATCCTTTTTTTTACTAAAATTTATTAGAAAAGTCGAAAATCAAAATTTCAACAGATAGTATATCTTAAAAATAATATTACGTCTCAGAAATATTAATATAAAATAAATGATGAAAAATTATCTGTAAATTAATTTTTGAATTACAAAAAAAAATTGATTTTGACAAAAACTGGATTTGTTTAAATAATCCTTAATTTCCTTACATTTTCTTAGTTTTTCCTGATTGTTTTTTAAAAGTTCTCAAAATTTACTAGTTTTGAAAACCCCCCTACCCACAGGTTTCAACTAGATCCAATTGTCTACAGAAACCTTGGAGGCTACTCCCAAATTAACGTCAGATTAAAGAAACAACTCTGATAAGCTAATAAATTTATTGCACCGCTCAAAATCTWCTTAATTATATATAATATAGTAATAATCATTAATCAATATAATATTGTATGACATTAATGAACTAAAATCTAATATTTTTTTTAGGTGGTGATATATTGCTGGTAGGTCATGCTTGTTCATTGGACTCTTTTTCAAGATCATTACTTCATAAATCTCCTCGTACTAAACAAAATTTTGTTAAAATGGTTAAAGACATCCCTTATTGCGGCCTAGTAACTTTAATGACTGATGGAATTAATGATTGGACATTTGTAGATCCTCCAGTTCCACCATTAACTAACTCTATTAATAAAAGATTTAATTGGAAAGTTTTAACCACTGACTTTGATGTTTCTCCGAATTAAGTATGTTTTAACACATTGACTRCTGTGTGATCACTGGCGGTCTTCTGTAATTCTCAAATTCTATATTTTTGTTACTTGGCACCCATAGTTGGGTAACTACTATGTGACATGACGGTTGAAGGTCATAAATGAATATGATTTTATATTAATAACTTTTCCATGATGCTACAATAATGTACTAAAAAGAGCGCTGTGGCGTAGTGGGGATCATTCCATTTTTTTTTTTATATAAACTTTTTTGTTGTTTTATTTTTTAAATTTTTTTCAAATAATATAGTATTTTGTACAAACTTTGTATGACATGGAAAAATATGCTTGGCTTGTTGATAGTACATATCATGTGACCGACGGTGTCATATGGCAGACATGATGTTAATTCCTAAACTAGTATGACCTGATATAAAACAAAATGAATTTATTTAAAATTATAATTTTTTTAAACCTCGCTTATTCTAACTTGAACAAATTATCACAGTTGAATATGATAGATTCATAACAAATATGTTTATTTTTAATTATATAGGTTGTTAACAAGTCTGGCAAACCGCATTTGGATGTAGATCGACTAACCCCAGAGGTCAAACTTTTTACAATACAATTTAAAAAATCACCTATCCTTCATTTCACCTAATGCCCCAACCTACTAGCCATCCCACACAAATCGTCACCCAGACATACTAGATTTTTTCATATCCTCGCTACCAAACCACTTAAATAATGATATAATAAACCTTGAAGAACTGTCTAGTGACCACTCCCCAATTCTACTCCACCTAGGTGGTAAACCAGAAAACTTAAACAATACTCTACACTCTAGACAAATTAATTTCAATTTATTCCAAAAAAAATTAGACGAACGCATAATTGACTAACATCTTGCGATGACATAGACAGTGCTTTACAATTCCTCATTACAACTATCTAAGAAGCAATAACAGACTCAACCTCTTCACCATCAAATACAAATATACCAATAAAACCACACCAATATACTTATTTACCCCAGAATTTAAAAGAATTAATTAACAAAAAACATCAAGCTAGAAAAATTTGGCATCAAACYCACTACCCAGAGCACAAACATGAATTAAATTAATTAATAAATAAACTGAAAAAAGATCTGCAAACCTTWAAAGCCAATCAATTTCATTCATTTTTATCATCACTTACACCCGTCAATGGTTCCTTATGAAAATCGATAAAAAAGAAAAACCAAAAGAAAAGACATAGTCCCCCTTTAACAAATTCTATCTAGCCATAACCATCAGTGAAAAARCAAATTTATTTGGCAATCACCTATCAGAAACTTTCCAACCCCACTCAGATACAAATTACAATTTAACAACACACATAGAAAATGTTGAGACTTTTCTTAAGAGTTCACTACCAGCTAAACTAATTACACTACAAGAAAAATATTATATTACTAAACTATGCAATAACAAATCCCCAGGGTATGATCTAATTGACAGTAAAATACTCAAAAAACTAACAAATAAAACCATTCTTCTTCTGACTCACATATACAATACACTGCTCAGGTTATCATGAATTATTCCCCCAATATGGAAATTCTCAACAATAATATTAATTGCTAAGCCAGAAAAACCAAAGCATTTAGTAACCTCATCCGCTTGATAAATCTACTACTGACGTTAGGGAAACTTTTTTAAAAACTACCTTTTAAAAGAATAACCCCTATTATCAAAGAAAACAATATCGTCCCAAATACTCAATTCGGATTCCAATCATATCATTCAACAATCCACCAAATACACAGAATAACTGATAAAATATAATCATTTGAAAAAAAAGAACACTACCCAGGTGTATTCCTTGATATCGCGCAAGCATTTGATCGTGTTAGGTAAAACGTATTATTGTTCAAATTAAAATAATTTCTACCTGCTCCACATTTTCTCATTCTAAAATCTTATCTCGAAGACCGATATTTCACTGTTAAACATAACAAATCTTACTCTGTCTACCATAAGATCAAAGCAAGAGTACCCCAGGGAAGTGACCTATCACCTATACTCTACAATATCTTCACATCAGATATCCCCAAAACAAACCTTACAACTCTAGCAACATATTATGCAGACGAAACCGCCATACTAGCATCAAACAAAGACCCAAATATTTCCTACGATATACAATACCATTTAAATCTAATCTTCAATTAGATTCAAAAGTGGAAAATTAAAATAAACGAAAACAAATCAGTTCAAATAAATTTTTCTCTGAATAAAAACAAATGTCTACATCTTTTGCTCAATAATTTGTCAATTACTATCCAAAATGTAACTTAGGAGTTCATTGAGATAAAAGACTTACCTGGGCCCAATATACAAAACAGAAAAGAAAACAATCAAACACACGTCTACATCTCCTCCGTCCATTGTTATCTTCTTCAATGGATTTAAAAAACAAAATATTAATATTCAAGATGATTATTACCCCCCTTTGTTCATATGGTATTCAAATCTGGGGCCAAGCCAAACCATCCAATATAAAGCCCATACAAGCTTTCCAGTTTATATGTCTCTGACAAATAACTGGAGCCCTATGGTATATGGCCAACAACGCATTACATAAGGATTTACATCCCAACAGTCAATGAAATAGCAACTCGACAATACAAAAAGTTCCACTCCAAACTGTACTCAAACCAAAACCCTCTATTACCATCCCCAACAACCCTCCGAGGAGGTTAAAAAGAAAATGGCAAAGAGACGCTCTTGCACATAACCAAAAAAAACGGTCTCTTAAGTATATGAACCCACAAAAAATAACTAATGACTTATTATATTATTACTATTATTATTATTATTACTTTGTCAACAACTTATGTATCATTTGTAAAATAACTTATTTCATTAATTGTATGCAATGTACATATTGTTTTTTTCATAACCACAATTTATAAAAATGTAGTTACTTACCCAGCCTTTTTTGTTAATATTATAGTTATTTGAAACAATTTAGTTGTTAACCAAATTATAAAATTAATATTTTTAATATTTGTTTGACTTTTGATTTTAAAAACTGACCTGTTATTTATTATGTATTGGTATATTACCTTTAATTTTCTTAAGAATTAATTCCATTCTGTTATATTGTTTAGTCTCGCTGTTAAAAATGAAAGTATTTTAAAACTCATTTAGGAACTTTCATTCATATTGAACTTTGTTAAAAATATATACATATTTTTGAATGAATACCTTTTTCGGAGAAGATCGTTATTTTACCGATCTCTACCTTGAGCCTATTTTCAAATGTAAAATATTGACAATTAATTCAAAAACATTAGTTCATTAAAAATGTTTTCTTAAAAGCAAATCAATAATTTTTTTATAATATTGTTATTGATTTTATATTAAAATGTATCGAAATTAAGTTAATTTGGAAACRTTAATTAATTTTATTATTGGAAAAATTGTTCTATGCACTTGGCCACTAAAATATGTACTTAATGTTCCTAGGTCAAAGTGATAATTTGTTCTATTTGTTTTYCCAAGACCTTGTATTTTATTTTTTTATTATTATATATATAGTATTTTATGTTTTAGTCTTAAGATTATTTGAATGTTATATTTTATTGTTAAACACATGCACCCAATATTGACACTATTAAGTTCAGTAGATCCTCAGTTATCCTCCATAAATTTGAACTGAGGAGAGAGCAGAAGAGTGCAAATAGCCAATAGTTAATGATTGAAAATGTACTATGAATTTTAAAATTAAATATTGTAATGTATGTGTACTCAAAATTAATAATAAAAAAAATTCACCAGGAATGTGGCTATGTTATTTAATAGGWGTCGAGTGTCACGAGTAAGTTACTGTAATGACCGTAATTAATAATATCAATTAATATGTAACATTTGAATTCAATGTTAAATCATTGTACACCAAAAATAATTTTGATTGGAGGCAGTGTGTCAGCTTCAAATTTCAGGATATTTTATAATTTATTTATAATAATATTAGTAATACAGAAGGTTGAACCAATTTTTGTCATATACACCTTTACATTGTATTATTATAATTTTTATTTTGTGTAATATTAGTATATTTTATTAACTGTCTATACTAACATACCATAGAATGGAATCTTAGCCAGAGGGTGATCTCACATAGTTATCAACTACATAATAAATGAAACTGGTCAGTTGGCACTTAACATGACTTAGGATTTTATTCATCCCTATCCCCTATCCCTATTTTTTCACTTGTTTATTTTAAAGTGCCTTCATGCGTCTTACCATAAAACTCCTTTCTATCTTCCTCTCTGTGAACCAATTAATCGATTAATGAAACTGCCAAATGAGGATTCCTTTTTCCTAAATATGTAAGTCCCTTTAGTTTATTCCAAATACTATATATGGTAGGTACAGTATACAGTTGGGGTGACCACAGCGAAGATCACGAGCCACATGCAGCTCTTGAGCCACTCGGTCTTGTGACTCTAGGGCATAGGTGCAACTAGGGTTAAAATTCTGAGGGGCTACAGCCCCCTAACAAAACTATGAACTTAAAATATCCCATAGGAGGCCATCCCACACCCCCTACWTACAATCAAAACAAATTTTAGATGCTGAACCAAGAGAAGAACATAATATTGGCTTTACAACAATTTGTTTTTTATGCATTTGATACTATCGTGAGCAATGTAAGCCAATTATAAAAATGGTATACTCTAATCAACATTTTATACAGCGACCTCTAGTAATTAGTATCTTACTAGTTCCTTAAAAATGTATTACTATTATAACTAAATTTGTTTACCTGTAATATGAGAGTAAGGAAAAAGAAAACAAGTCAAGTTTATTATAGTAGGTAACATTTTAATACCTATATTAATGGTATTTTTCTATTGTTAGCATTTGAAAAATTGTTTAAAATCTCTTCACTGTCAATATAGTCACAAGAACCAGATGTAATCTTTTACACATTTCAAAACTAATACACTTAGTTAAAAACAATTTAAAATTTACTTTTTTCCAATTGTTGAATCCTATTTTGACAAAAATGTATCGTCTGAAGTCTCATTACCAAATATATGGCACACATAACAATAAATTGCATTACTCTCGATACAGTACTCAATCCATGAAAAGTGATCATACCATGAATCACTAAAACTTCTGTTTGGAGTTCCTTGTTTAGTTTTAGGATACACCTAAGCAAAATTTGAAATTTAAGTGTCAGGAAGCAAAAGTATTGAATAATAATGCATTTTATTACAATTCTTAAGTTAACAAAGTACTTACCAAAATGGCAAAATACAATTATGATTTAAGCAAAAGGAAAGCAGGTTCATATAGGTACTCATTTATTTAAAAAAATATTTACATACCTACACCTAAAGGTTTTTGTTGCTATATACTTATTTAATATTTAAATAGTTAGGCTATTTATGATAAATATCGTATTTAAGTATGTATTAAATCATTAATGACATGGAAAAATAAACAGAGGATAAATATATACAATTTTTTGAATTATTTAATAAATTATAACTTACCTGTAATATTGGTCAGTACGGCCCGGTGTTGGGCCTTGGTACCAAACTTAGAAGAGAAAAATATCTTTACARACTTTTACAAACGAATGGGATAACTTGAAATTCGAAAATTTGGGACATTTTCCTAGCCCCCCGCTGGTTTTATTTATTTTTTGCCAAAATGAATTCTTTACAAACGAATGAAATAAACGAAAATTTTAAATGACTCTGTAAGGGGCTGGAGAAATGGACCTCGTRTATCAGGGTATTCCTAAAAAGTTGTTATTTGGGGATAAAATATAGAAGGTAAATTAATAGCTCAGCCTTTTGATTGTGTTTTACAAATTAATTAATTAATTAATCAATCTTATAGTATTAATGTTTTTTGCGACTCAAGGCACTGGCCGCCGGGAGTCTATAGTGGCCGTGTCTAGCTTCGGTATTAAGGTATTAATTAACAAAATATTTATGTTCTATAAGAACATCACTTGAAACCTCATTGGCTTCCAATGTGAACAAAAATAGAAGYTGTTTTGCTACCAAAAAGGTAAACTCGAGAAAAACTATACATTGTCTGATTGTCTGATAAATTCTTTTGATCAAAACACCCCTAGGATCGAGATTCGCAGATATAATCCTATGGGCTAAGTGCCGTTATCGAGAAAAAAATGTGTAGATAGTCACACGTGCGTGTACTCAATTGTCTATTAATACCTACTAAACGTATAGTAAATTATTATGATAATAGGTACGTAAAAAAATTATTTATTTTTCATAATTTATAATGCTAGAAAAAAAAAAATTGTAGGTACCTACTAATAATATACGTAACTATATATTATTATAGAAGGTAACTTCAAGTAGTTTGAGCATCCCAGAACGCATCAATTATTATTATTATTATTATTATTGTAAGCCAAATATTGATACGAAGAAAATATTATATATTGCCATATTATTAAAATTCGTTCAAACGTCAAGTGCACTACAGATAATGAAATTWCAATTATTATGTTACCTATTCATTATTATAATTAAACACTACCTACATCATTCACATTTATTTTATACAGTGACGTTTAAATGTTTTACGCTTTGAACTAATGAAACTATCAACCATAGCAGCGTCACAGTTAAACATTTTAACGTTAATTAATAACACGTATTGCTAAAATATTCATAATTTCTCATTGTTCATTATTTTATTTTCCCATAATATTWTAATGAATTTTTGTAATCTACGGCACACGGGTTGCAGTATAAGTGACGGATTTATCGTGGGGRGAGAGGGTTAGCTGATTACCAGGAGCCACCCACATTTATTTTGTGGAGTAATGATAATTTATTATATCTGTAAATTTAACATTTTTTATGCAGCTATTTCTCATTTCAAATAGAATTTAGTTGTTATGACGTATACCTAGCTTTATTTKTATAGCTTATTTTTCGTTTGAATATCCAGAGATTCGTCAATATTCATATGTTCAGAAAWTTTTTTTAATCTTAGTTTAAGAACTACCTACCATTGTGAAACTTTGTTTTGCAGTTTCAAGCTTTCAGATCTAACACACAAAAAAAGAAATGCTTTAAATACTCATAAAAAAACTTGAAGTGATTTTTAATACCTACCTAGCTATCTACTAAAATGTGTCTTAAAAAAAACACCCGCATCGTTGTGACATCAATATCGTTCCATCAGAATCTAAAACGAATAGATTACGTACCTCAGATTATCACTATATTTATGTATAGCGTCAAACTATCGCGTATACTGTATTGAGTAAAGTGATATTAATTTCTATAAATAGGTACCTGCAAAAATAATATATAGTATATACAGTTCGTGTCGGCAAGGTTAATACTCTTATACTTTGTTTACCTGCCACCCTTAAAAAATAATGACTTATTAATTTTGCAAAAAATATTTCTTAAAAAAAAAAAAAAAAAAAAAAAATGAAAAACAATATTTGATCACGCCCAACTATACGCGATCCGATAACGGGAAAATCGACTTGGGTAGCTTGTATTTTACGCTTATTATTATATAATATAGTATAGGTAAGTAATATAAGTTACATAATCACRGAGAGTATATACAAAAAATGCGCTCGTTTTAGGTTCCAACTGAGCAGCTCACTGGCCACTGCCAAGGTAATAAAATATAATCTCACGTCGGTCGACCTGATTGGACTGCAATAATTTAACGGCCGCAMACAATATTACTATACATATCGTATCGTTATATGTCAACATCGACGTCAACGACATATTAATATTATTAATTTTCGCACCTGCCTACCTGTTATGTTATTATATGTGCCAAACTAATATTTAATAATAGTAATAAGTAATAACTGCACATCAGTCACGGTTGACCACCATTACAACAGTATAAGCTGTCATTTATCGCACACCCACACACACACACACGTTATGCATTAACTGGGTGAGTCCGTTTTCGACCAAAACCGTACCCTTCCCTTTTCGGCCGATTCACTTTTCGACCAGAACAAAAATTTAAATAATAAAATAATGACACACAATTTTTGTCACTAATTATAAAGTATTATATTGAAATAAAAAAGGTAATTTTGAAAATTACATGATA